GTGTAACACTGCTGGATCTCTCTGAGAGTACCTGCCCAGGTGTAACATTGCTGGATCTCTCTGAGAGTACCTGCCCAGTGTCTCTAAAGTGCTAATTCATAAACTGTTCTTTTCTAAGCTCCAGGCAAACTTGATTCCTGGTCTCAATCTGAATGCTCTGGGCTTGTTCCCACCTTCCTCATCCACCATCCCGCCTCACCCTGTTGGAGTGGCACCAGCAACACCTTACGGTCCCTACATGGTGAGTGACTTATTGAGAGATTCACGTCTACCCACTTTGTTTAGGAGTGAGACCTTTGATCAATACAAACCTGGGAGGATTGTAGATAGTCAGGGAAGAACTTTCAAAAGGAAATTAGAACTTTAATTACAAAGAAAATACTGAGAGAGTGATGGAGGAAAGAGTGGGGGAGCAAGACTGTTAAAAAGGCAGCAAATGTATTGTAGGCTGCAAAGCCTCCTTCTCTGCTCAGAGGTCATTTTTAAGATGGGATTGAGTCCACGTGAGCAGCACTGATAAAGCAACACATCTTCCAGTGTTTGTACCTATTGAGTCAATGGAAATTATCTTCCAATGAAACCTGCCATGTGTGATTATGTCAAAATTGCAATCAGGCACTATGACTTCCTCAGTTGGATTTTGGAAGATGCAAATCAGAGGCTACGTTTTCAGCCTGTTTTGGGTTTTCTTGTTAAGATTCAGCCTGAGGGAAATCTATTTAATGGATGATGCTGAGCTTTGGCCAGGAATGACAATGCGTTTGATTTGTGCAGCAAACCTCCGATCCTGAGACAGTCCATGTCTTCATCCCAGCCCAGGCTGTGGGTGCCATTATTGGAAAGAAAGGGCAACATATCAAGCAGCTTTCCCGATGTGCAGAGGCTTCGATCAAGGTGAGTACGTTTGCATTTTTCCATTTGTTCTCTAAGGTGATGACGAGTTTTCTTATCTTAAAGGCTTTGTTAGCAAGTGAGTTGGGAGGGCAATAGGTGTCACTTAGATTGTGGGGACTGGAGTTATACCTGGCCCAGAATAACAATTATCAACATACAAATTAAGAGCAGGAAGAAGACATTTGGCTCTTAAAGCCTGCTCTGCCATTTGCTAAGAACATTGCTGATCTGATTGTGACTATCTGTCTACCACCTATAATTGCCTTGTTAATCAAGCATCTGTCTAAGACACAAAAAAATTGCAGATGCTGGAATCCAAGGTAGACAAACTGGAGGCTGGAAGAACACAGCAAGCCAGGTAGCATCTGGACAAAAGGAGAAGTCAACTCCAAAACCTTAGGGAGAAGTCAACGTTTTGGGTATAACTCTTCTTCAGGACTGAATGTGGGGGTGGGGGCGGGAGGGATGGGCGTGGAATGGTTGTGATCAGTAGACATTGGTGGTAGTTATGACCTGGTTGGTCGATGGGAGGGACGTATCCAGTTGGTGGCTGGAAGGGAGGGTCAGAAGGTGGAATGGAAGGGAGGAAGTGGGGCTGGAAGGGGAGCCGGGGAATGGATGAGAAGGTTATTTGAAATTGGACAATTCAATGTATAGTCCTCCGGGCTGTAAGGTGCCCCAGTGGAAGATAAGGTGGTGTTCTTCAAATTTGCATTGCGAGTCGCTGCGACACTGGAGGAGGCTGAGGACGGACATATCGAAGGGGGAGTTGGGCAGGGAGTTGAAATGGGCAGTGACCAGGAGGTTAGATTGGCCATTGTGGGCCAGGCGAAGATGCTTGGCGAAATGGTCACCTAGTCTACGTTTGATCACACTGATGTAGAGAAGACCACATCAGGAGCACCAGATGCAATAGACTAGGTTGGAGGAGATGTAAGTGAAGCTCTGTCTCACTTGGAAGGGTTGGTTAGGGCCCTGAATCAAGGTGAGGAAGGTGGTGAGTGGGTAGATGTTGTACCTTTAAGGTTACAGAGGAAGGTACCAGGCAGGTTGGAGTGGTTGGTGGGGAGTGTGGCGCAAACTGAGGATAAGGACAAGCTCGGTCAAGCGGAGTAGGGTGGTGGTGGGTGGGACGCTCCAGGAAGAAGCGGAGAGCCCTGAGACCATCCTGGTGGGGGATGGACATGTAAAGGGATTGCACATCAATGGTAAAGAGGAAGCGGCTGGAACCTGCAAACTGGAAATTCCAAAACTAGAGTAAAGCGTCAGAGGAATCACAGATGTACTTGGGCAGGGGCTGGACCAAAGGAGAAATGACTGAGTTAAGGTAGAAAGGGATGAGTTCTGTGGGGCAGGAGCAGGCTGAAGCAATGGGTCTGCCTGGGCAGTCCTGTTTGTAAATTTTTGGAAGCAGGTAGAAGCGAGCTGTGCGAGGCTGGGGAGCTATCAGCTTGGAGGCAGTCGGTGGGGAGATCACCAGATGAAATGAGGTTAGTGGCCGTGGTTGATACAATGGCCTGATGTTCCATGGTGGGGTCATGGTCCAGGGGAAACCAGGAGGAGGTGTCTGAGAGCTGGCGCTCAACCTCTGCAATGTAGAGGTCAGTACGCCAGACTACAACAGCACCATCCTTATCGGCAGGCTTAATAACAAAGTCTGAGTGCATGGAGTGCAGTCAGTTTGGAGGGAGATAGGTTGCATTGGCTGAGGGGGTGCAGAGAAATTGAGATGACCAATGTCACGTCGACAGTTCTCAATGAACAGATCGAGTGCAGGTAAAAGGCCAAAGGGAGGGGTCCAGCTGAAGGGAGAGTGTTGGAGTTGGGCAAAGGGGTCTGTGGGTCGGGGAGAGAACCCTTGTCCAAAGAAATGGGCACAGAGGCAACGTTCAACAGAAGTCAAGTTCAATGTCAGGTCATGCTCAAAATTCATCAAGTTGGGGTGCAGAGGGATAAAGCTGAGGCCTTTGCTGAGTACGGAGCATTTAGCATCGGAGAGTGGAAGATCAGGAGGGATTTTAGTAACACCTGACAGGAGGTGATGTTTAGGGTCGGGATGGACTCAGAGGGGAGGGGAGGAGAGGAAGGTTCCGGAGGGCCATGGGTATCTCTTGAGTTGTTGCATCTTGTATGCCTTGATGCCAGAAAGGAAAAGAAAAAGTTTCTTGTTACCACGGCAAATGAGCTGGAGGATGAAGTGGAATATGAGTTCCCTGATTGGAGCTGTTAATCTGATTCAATCAGGGAGCCCTGGCTGACAGATATAAACAGGAGCGTTGGACATGCTGTTCACTCAGAGCTGGCTCTCCATGTGTAAACAAAGGGTGACTGGGTGATGGGATACCAACCTCTGCGGAGTTATTTAATGTCCCTTGTGATTTTAGAAATCTCTATAAGGTCAGGCCTCCTACACTCCACAGAAAAAAGTCCCACCCTAGCCAGCCTCTCCATAAAATTCAAACCTCCAGTCTCAAAAACATATTTTGCAAATCTTTTTTGCACTCTTCCCGGTTTAATAACATTTTTCCTATAGCTGGGTGAACAGAATTGTATGCAGTACTCAATGTGGCCTTAGCAATATCTTGTACAGCCATAACATCACATCCCAACTCCTGTACTCAATGCTTTGAGGATGGAGGCCAGCATGCCAAACACCTTCTTCTACCTGTGATGCCACTTTCAAGGAACTGTCTGCCTGCACCCCTAGGTCTCTCTCTTTGACACCACTCCCCAGGACCCTACCATTAACTGTGTAAGACCTGCTCTGGTTTGTCTCAACAAAATTCAACACCTCACATTTATCTGAATTAAACTCCATCTGCCATTCCTTGGCTCACTGGCCCAGTCGATCAAGATCTCACTGTGCCCTTAGATAACCTTCTTCACTGTCCACTATACCACCAATTTTGATGTCATCCACAAAATTATAAACCATGTCTCCTATATTCTCATCCAAATCGTTTATATAAATGATGAACAACAGTGAACCTGGCACCGATCCTTGTGGCACACCACTGGTCAGAGGCATCCAACCTGAACAACGACTCTCCACGACTTCTGTGTCCTACCATCAAGCCAATTTTGTATCTAGTTGGCTAGCTCCCCCAGCTTCCATGGGACCTAACCTTACTAACCAGTCTACCATGCGGAACCTTATTGAAGGCCTTACCAAGGTCCATATGGTCAACGTTTACTGCTCTGCCTTCATCTATCTTCTTGGTTACCTCTTCAAAAAAAGTCAAATCAAATTTGTGAGACACAATTTCCACACACAAAGCCACACTGACTTTCCTGAATCAGTCCTTGCCTTATCTACTTAATCCCATCTTGGCTTCACTTCCTTTATATCCTTTATTGGTAAATAAAAGGAACCTAGTTAGAGTTAAACAGCTTTGGGACACCCTCAGATTGTGAAGAGCATTATAGTGTTGTTCAGAGTTATGAGGGGATTTTGTTGAGCAAATATGGAGAAATATTCCGCTGGCAGGAGTTTTGGTAACCAGATGATATAATTGATGAAAGAACCGCAGTGTGATAAGAATTTATTTTTTGTGGAGCTGTTTGTTATGGTCTGGAATACACTGCCTGAAATGGCAAGGACATGAATGTTCTCAATGACATTGGCATCCTGGGTCTCCCACATCCTGCAACTAGGTTTTAAGATTTGAATCCTTGTTTTCAAACCACTCCATGGACTTGCTGCTCCCTACCTCTGTAACCAAAACCATCTTACAACTGTCTTGAGATCTCCAATTCTGGCCTTGGGTTTTAACCACTGTACAATAAACTCCCTCGTCCTACGCTCTGGAACTTCCTGTGCAAACCACTTTGGAAATGCTCCTTTAAAGCTACCTCTTTGGCCAAATCATTTGCTATACAATTGATGTCACAAATTGGCAGTTACATTCCAATGAAACACCATGTGCTGCCTGTATTTTGTGGCAGGTGCTACGTAAAGGCAATGTGTTATGGCTGACACAAAATGGAAGTGGTCTGACTGTAGCTTCAGGCTAGGTGTAATTGCTTAATATCTCTCATTGCAGATCGCTCCAGCAGAAAGTCCAGACACCAAACAGCGCATGGTGATCATCACAGGACTGCCAGAGGCCCAGTTTAAGGTAAAGAAGAGACAACTCCGTAAGAATGAATAAAGATAATTACCATCAATACCATGTCACTGCTGAAAACTTGACCGATATCATCTCACCTTCTTAAATTGAATTTGTTTTGTTTGCTTGAAACGAGTCCCATTCTGACCAATCAGTTAAAGGTTTGGAGATTTTTATATTTTTAAAGAGTGGTTTGTCAGGGCAGTGAGTGCTGGGTCAGAAACAGTGGTGGAGGCAGAATCTGTGATCACTGTGAAAAGGAATTTGGAAAACTGTTTCAAAGATGACATTTTAATGTCAGACTATTGGAGAAATGACAAAGGAATGGGACTAAATGGATGGCTGGTGGGTTGAATGGTCCCTCCTGCTTGGGAAGACACCATTGTTTTACAGCAAGGAGCATGGGTTTAGGATTAATGTAAACTGTCTTAAACTGTTATCCCCATTCTGGAATGTTGGGGTATATCTCCCTTTCACTTCACCCCTTTCTTCCTCTCACTCCACCCATTTCTTTCTACCTTTACTTGTGTCCTTTTCCTTCACTCGTTTTCTCTTCTTCTATCTCTCTCCTTTTCTCTTTCCTTTCTCTCTCCCTCTTCCTCTCCGCTCTGCCCCATCTTCCTCACTATTCAACCCTTTCCCTATCCCACTTACTGACATATGAATTGGGAGCAGGAAGAGGCCATTCAGCCCCTCGATGCTAGATTGCCATTTAATAAGATTATGGCCGATCTGATTGTGGCCTAAACTCTTCTCTAATTTCTGATTCCCTTATCAATCAGGAACCTCTCTAACCTGCCATAAAGATATTCAATGACGCAATCTTCTCAGCTCTGTGGGGAAGAGAATTCACAGACTAACAACGCTCCAAGACGGAAGAAAATTCATCCTCCACATCTCTGCGTTATATGGAAAATCCTTTATTTTTAAATGGGATTGCTTTTTGTACTAGTTCACTCCCCTGTCGCTCTTTCACTCTTTCTTGCTTCCTCCCTGTTCTTCTCTTCTCCCATCCCCGCTCCTCCCATCCCTGTAGTTGTAAGAATTCCACATGAAATTGTCTTGTGCCAGATTGACACTTAAAGTGGCACCAATCAACAAAACTGGCAAGCTCCTGTAGATTAGAGCCTTTGTACCGCTGTTTGATGAGGCATCAGTTTGTTACCGAGAGGGGGCACGGTGCATCAGTGGTTAGCACTGCTGCCTCACAGTGCCAGGAACCCAGGTTCGATTCCACCCTCGGGCGACTGTCTGTGTGGAGTTTGCACATTCTCCCTGTGTCTGTGTGGGTTTCCTCCAGTTTCCTCCTATAGTTCAAAGATGCTCTTAGGTGGATTGGCCATGCTAAACTTCCCCATAGTGTCCAGGGATGTGCAGGCTAGGTAGATTAGCCATGGGAAATGCAGGGTTACAGGGATAGGGGTAGGGAGGTGGATCTGGGTGGGATGCTCTTCAGAGGCTTGGAGTGACCTTCATGGGCCGTTTGGCCTGCTTCCATACTGTTCAATGATTCTGTGAACTTCATGCTCTGCTTTCCATTGGTGTGAACAACAGCTGAGGACAAAATTGAATTTCCCTACGCTGGTGGTCAGGTTACACATGGGGAATAGGCACATTTGAGAGTTACCGGCACATTCCACCGATGTCAGTTAGCAACAACAGGGGAGATATGGCAAGGACACACAGAATTGTTTAAATGACATATTTTTGTTCTCTCCTTCCCCCAGGTCCAGGGCAGGATCCACGGAAAGCTCAAAGAGGAAAATTTCTTTGGACCCAAGGAAGAAGTCAAACTTGAGACGCACATTAAAGTAGCTGCCTCAGCAGCTGGCAGAGTGATAGGAAAGGGAGGCAAAACTGTAAGGGCCGGTGATGGTTTGTTGCTGTTTGATCTTGGATTTGAAAGGGGGAGTAAAGGTGAAGCAGATAGAAGCTGTCTGACGTGATCTTTAGAATGGATCAGTTCATTGCCAAATCAGAAGAGGAATGTAAGACCATACAGAATAAAAACAGAAATTGCTGGAGAAACTCAGCAGGTCTGGCAGCATCTGTACAGAGAGAAACAGAGTTAGTGTTTTGAGTCCGGCATGACTGGTGTTCCTAGGAGGAGTCATATTGGACTCAGTGTTAACTCTGCTTCTCTCTCCCCAGATGCTGCCTGACCTGCTGAGTTTCTCCAGCACTTTCCGTTATTATTTTGGATCTCCAATATTTGCAGTATTTTGCTTTGTTTCACCATAAGGAGCAGGATTAAAGCACAGCCTTCATTTCGAGCCTGCTGTGCTATTTAGTGAGATTGTGGCTGATCTTATATCTCTGCTTCCTTCAACATCACCATAATCCTTGATTTATGTTGCATTTAAAAACCTATTGACCTGTTTCCCCCCGCCGAGTCTGCTCAATGACTAAACACCCGCAAAGACCCAGAACCTACTGTGAGAGGAAATTTGTCTTCATCTCAATCCTGAATCAGCTGACCCCTTACTCTGAGACTGCAGCTCTTTGTTCTAGATTCTCCAGCCAAAACATGTTGCCCTATCAGGCTTCTTAAGCGTTTAATAAATTTTAGTGAGAAAAATTCACTTCCTTCAGGAAACCAGGGAACACAGTCCCAATGGGAAACAGGGTCAGAGGTCATTAAACTTGAAGTAGCTTTTCCAACATCAGTTGCTACACACAGTTGTAATAAAACCCATTGAAAATGAACATCATTAGCTGTAAAGTAACTCCATTTATTGTAATACCCTTAACTTTTACAAAGGACAGAGGAAGGAAAGGGTTCCTAATCTATTGCTACGTAGCTCAAACTATACCCTTTCAAAACTTCTAAGTGCACACCCAATCAATCACAGTTAAAATAGTCAAAAGACAAACAGTTTAACATATGCTCTGGCTACCATGGTGTAATGGTGAGCACATTGGACTCTGAATCCTGTGATCTGAGTTTGAATCTAGGTGGTGCCTTCTTCCTGGTGAAGGGACTGACGAGCCTTGGAAAGTCCGTCGTTTTATCCAAATATTGATTGGAAACTTTTTAGTTGTAATAGTTTAGATGGAGCGGATTTTGTCCAGTGCGTGCAGGAAGGATTCCTGACACAGTACGTAGATAGACCAACACGAGGAGAGGCCACTTTGGATTTGTTGCTTGGCAATGAACCGGGCCAAGTGTTAGACCTATTGGTATGAGACCATTTTGGCGGTAGCGATCATAACTTTGTTACTTTTACAATAGTCATGGAAAAGGATAGGTACGTACAGCAGGGTAAGGTTTATAATTGGGGGAAGGGTAATTACAATTCTGTTAGGCAAGAACTGGGTAAGATAAAATGGGAACAGATGCTGTCAGGGAAGAGCACCATTGAAATGTGGAGATTGTTTAAGGAATGCATACTGTGTGTACTCGATATGTTTGTCCCTAGCAGGCAGGGAAGATGAGGTCGAGAGAGAGGTTCTCAAGAGAGGTCGAACGACTGGTTAAGAGGAACAAGGATGCTTATATAAGGTTTAGGAAACAAGGAACGGAAAAGGCTCTAGAGGGATACAAGTTAGCTAGGAAGGAGCTGAAGAAAGGGCTTAGGAGAGCTATAACGGGGCATGAGAAAACCTTGGCAGATAGAATCAAGGAAAACTCCAAGGCTTTTTACACGTATGTGAGGAATAAGGGAATGACCAGAGAAAAGGTAGGGCCGATCAAGGATTGTAAAGGGAATTTGTGCATGGAGCCTAAAGACAACTGAGAGGGACCTAGTTGTCGAGGAGGACAATGTGAAACAGGCTAGTAGGCTGGAGGAGGTTGATGTTAGTAAGGAAGATGTACTAGGAATTTTGAGGAACTTGAAAATAGATAAGTCCCCTGGGCCTGATGGGATTTATCCAAGGATTCTATGGGAAGCGATGGAAGTGATTGCAGGGCCTTTGGTGATGATCTTCTCGTCCTCATTGTCCGCGGGTATAGTGCTGGAAGATTGGAGAGAGGCAAACGTTATTCCCTTGTTCAAAAAAGGGAATAGGGATAACCCCGGAAATTACAGGCCAGTTAGTCTCACGTCAGTGGTGGACAAATTATTGGAAAGGGCTCTGAGAGATAGGATTTATGATCACTTGGATAGGCACAGTTTGATTCGTGATAGTCAGCATGGATTTGTGAGGGGTAGATCATGCCTCACAAAGCTTATTGAATTCTTTGAAGAGGTGACCAAACACGTGGATGAAGGTAGAGCAGTGAATGTGGTATACATGGATTTAAGTAAGGCGTTTGATAAGATTCCCCATAATAGGCTCATGCAGAAAGTAAGGAGGCATTGGATAGGGGGAAATGTGGCAGATTAGATTCAGAATTGGCTGACCCTTAGAAGACAAAGAGTGGTAGTGGACGGAAAATATTCAACATGGTGCTCAGTTACGAGTGGTGTACCACAAGGATCTGTTCTGGGTCCTCTTCTATTTGTGATTTTTGTAAATGATTTGGATGTAGGAGTGGAAGGGTGGATTAGTAAGTTCGCAGATGATACGAAGGTGGGTCGAGGTGTGGATAGTGCGGAGGGCTGTTGTAGGTTACAAAGGGACATTTAAAGAATGCAGATCTCGGCTGAGAAGTGGCAGATGGAGTTTAACCCTGAAAAGTGTGAGGTGATTCATTTTGGAGGAACAAATTTGAAAGCAGAATACAGGGTTAACGCAAAGATTCTTGGCAGTGTGGAGGAGCAGGGAGATCTTGGGGTTCATGTGCACAGTTCCCTGAAAGCTGCCACCGAGGTGGATAGAGTTGTTAAGAAAGCGTATGTTGTGTTAACTTTCATTAATAGAGGGATTGAGTTCAAGAGCCGTGAAGTTATGCTCCAGCTATACAAAACCCTGGCTCGGCCACATCTGGAGTATTGTGTCTAGTTCTGGTCGCCTCATTACAGGAAAGATGGGGAAGCGTTGGAAAAGGTGCAGAGGAGATTTACCAGGATGTTGCCTGGAATGGAGGGAAGGTCTTACAAGGAAAGGTTGAGAGAGTGGGGTTTTTCTCTTTAGAACGACGAAGGATGAGAGGTGACTTGATAGAGGTATAGAAAATGATCAGAGATATAGATAGAGTGGACAGCCAGAGACTTTTTCCTAGGGTGGAGGCAACTATTACAAGGGGGCATAGTTTTAAAGTGAGTGGAGGTAGATATAGGGGAGACATCAGAGGTAGGTTCTTTACTCAGAGAGTGGTTGAGGCGTAGAATGCATTGCCAGAGAGGGTAGTGGAGTTGGCCTCATTAGGGGCATTTAAGCGGCTATTAGACTGGCATATGGATGATAATATAAGGTAGGGGTGGAGGTTAGATAGACCTTAGGTTTAGGGTAAAAGTTCGGCACAACATCATGGGCTGAAGGGCCTGTACTGTTCTATGTTCTATGTTCTATATGCTTAGAGCGGAAAATGAATATAGACAAGGTAAACAAAATTCCAAAGATCTAAAGTTCAGACCATAAGGTGGTAAGTTATTTTCTCACAATCCTTTTGATTTTGGCAATAATACACACTGTTTTCAGTACAGAGACAGTTGTTCTTTGATTCAGCAGTTAATCAAGTAGACCTAGGTCTTTTCTTGGTTTAGGACAGTATTTTTTAAGCTCTCTTGGTTTTTCTGTCTTTTTCCCACAAGGAGAGGGAGGGCGGATAGATGGATGTTTTCTGTTTGGAGGCTTTGGATGTTTTTCTTACTGCTGCCGTACACTTACAGCTTGTAAAATCTGCAGCTTGACCATTCAGAGGGCTTTTGACAAGCAGAATTTTCTGAACTCAAAAGACTCAGTGTCCCTCACTTATGAAGTCTATTCCTCACCCCTTTGAAAAGCAACATAACATCAAAAAGCTCAAAAACATGCAGCAATTGATTTTTAATTTTCAACAATCTCCTGGTATTTCCGCTATAGATGTGAAAGCTAACTTTCCGTTTATAATCCCAAAAAAGAAAATACATGGTCATTTGGTGTGGTCACACCTTCAGCTCTGAACTCTGAATTTCCTTCCCATAACTCTGCCTGTCCATCTATTTCCTTCTTTGCAATGCTTGTTAGAAAAGCCTCTGACCAAATCTGTAGTTATCTGCTCTAATATCTCCTGATGTGGCTCAGTGTCAAAATTTGCTTAAGGCACCCTTGCACATGCTTTGGGATATTTTATTTCATTAAAGGTACATAATAAATACAAGCTGCTATTAACCAATCCTGTGCCTGGCTCAGGAGTCCTTGCCATTTATTGTGTGTTTATGCCTATGCGTTAAAAATGAACAAGTTGAACTGACTGTGATTGTTGAGAACTCATTGCAGTATGATTCAACCTAACACTCAATCTCTGTGGTTCCTTTGCTATAGGTGAATGAGCTGCAGAATCTGTCCAGTGCTGAGGTTGTTGTGCCTCGAGATCAGGTCCCAGATGAGAATGACCAAGTTGTCGTCAAGATCATCGGTCACTTTTACGCAAGTCAGGTAAGCACCCTGCCTCCAGTGGGTTCCAGAAAGCAAATGGACTGTACCCGTTTCTACTCAGCAATGTAGGTGATGGCCAGTCACTGGTTCAATCCTCAGGGCAATGCGGGACCAATCAGAACCAATCTGCCTGACTTAAAATTTAAACAAAGCCTGCCTGTCAATTGTCAATCATCATTAAGTCAGGTACGCTGCATGGCAGTGCCTCAACCAGAGTCCACTTGTCAACCAATCATCAAGAGATCCTCTCATGCAATGCAACTGCTGGTTGGAGTACAAGATGAAAGGCTCTGGTGAGCTGTGTCTTTTTCTAACGGTCTCAAATTCTGTACAACCAACTGACTAATTATTGAATTCTATTTTGAAGACCTCAATTAGATATGTTTTCACCTGATTCTCGGGCAGAACAGTTCAGATCATGACCACATGCTGTGTAAAAACAAAGTTGCTTCCTGTAGCCATTGCTTCTCTTGTTAATCCTCTTAAACTGATTCTTAGCCAAGAGGAGAGGTTTTTCCCCATCTACTTTGTCCAAATAGAACATAGAACAGTAGACCACAGGAATGGGCCCTTCGGCCCACAATGTTGTGCCGAACATGACGCCAGATTAAACTAATCCCTTCTGCCTGCCCTTGGTCCATATCCCTCCATTCCTTGCATATTCATGTGCTTATCTAGAAGTCCCTTAAATGCCTCTATCGTATCTGCCTCCATCACCACCCTGGCAGTGCATTCCAGACTCTTACCACACTCTGTGTAAAAACACTTGCCCCTCTCATCTTCTTTGAACTTTCCTCCCACTCACCTTAAATGCATGACCCCTCATTTTAGACATTTCAACTCTGGGAAAAAGACACTGGCTGTCAACCCTATCTATGCATCGCATAATTTTATACACTTCTTTCAAATCTCCCCTCAACCTCCACCGCTCCAGAGAAAGTAACCTGAGTTTTTCTAGTCTCTGCTTATAGCTCATACCCTCCAATCCAGGCAGCATCCTGGTAAACCTTTTTTGCACCCTCTCCAAAGCCTCCACATCTTTCCTGGAATGTGGCAACCAGAACTGAGCACAATACTCTAAGTTAACAAGGTGCAGAGCTGGATGAACTCAGCAGGCCAAGCAGCATCAGAGGAGCAGGAAAGCTGATGTTTCAGGTCTGGACCGTTCTTCAGAAAAAGGGGAGGGGAAGAGAGCTCTGAA